TAAACTCCACCTACATGATACCTAGCCACACCTAAAATAGGTTTGTCATTAGAGTCAAAGCCGCAACCTAAGCATGTGGCAACACAGCTTCCTGACACATGGCCAAGTGGGTGCATACCACAGTGCTCCCGTTGTTCATGTTGTGGATGTCCCGGTGCTGATGTGCACAGAAATCGAGGCAGGCAGTGACCCCGGAGAAAGGACGCCCTTCCTTGCGACCCAGCCGGCATTCTCGGGCAACATGTTCGTATTCCACCTTCAAGGAAGGAAGCACAAGACAGATACACCTTTAAGAATCAGAAAATCCACAAAAGGACATAAATTACATATGTAGTTTTTAGTGTCGATGCAAAGCACAAGTGTGTCTATTGCTTCTCCAGAGCTGGGGCTCAAGCCTGGCCTATGAATGCCAGGCTTTCACTTTCATCACTGAACTACATTACTGGTCCATAGGTTTTTTGATTTGAGGCAGGAGGATCTTTTGATTCCAATAGTTTGAGGCCCACCTGAGCAACACAGCAAGCTATATCTAGTTAACTAATAAATTATAAAAATGAAAGTTGTAATTTAATAGAGTGCATGCTATTCACAAGCCAGAGACCATGCTATTAATGGCCAGATACAGCTCAATGGCATAGCGCTTGCCTGACAAGCTCAAGGTCCTGAGTTTGATTCCTGGTTACCCCCCTACCAAGAATCCAAACAAACTGTAGATTTTTTTTCTTTTTTAAGGAAACAGACTTTTGGTGCTCATTTGTAGGATCTCACTATATAGTTTAGACTGGCCTTCAGATCACTTTGTAGCCCAGGCTGGTCTCGAACTCAAAATGATCCTCCTGTATCAGCCTCCTAAATGCTGGGATTACAGGAGTGTGCCACCTCACCTGGCTGCACCATATTTTTTTTTTAAATATACTTATTTTCAATTTATACATGGCTTATAAATAATTTACTCTAGAAATTCTTCTCATGTGTGAGGCCTTAGGTTCAATCCTTAGCATGCTCCCAAAATTGGAAAGTCAGATTCTGCTACCCTAATATTTTAATGAAACTGCTATAAAAGGATATGGAGTGGGAAAGATAGCTTAGAAGCCTACCTACCTACCTGGCAAGAAAAGACCCAAGTTCAATTCCCAGCCCTACATGCTGTCAGAGCTGCAGCCTAAGCATGTGGCAACTCAGCTTCCTGACACGTGGCCAAGCGGGTGCATGCCACAGTGCTCCTGTTGTTCATGTTGTGGATGTCCCGGTGCTGATGTGCACAGAAATCGAGCTAATTCTGTAGCCAGACTGCGCTTGGCCCAGAACCGGGTGTGGCAGCACATGCCTGTAACCCCAGCATTTGGGAGGTGAGCCAAGAGTATTTCTCTAAGTTGAGACCAGCCTGGGGGTTACCAGAGGTGAGCACAAGGCCAGCCCAACTTCATAGTGAGAGCCAGTCTCAAAAAACTAAAAAATAAAATGCTACAACATTTTAAAAGTTATTCAACGAAAATTATACATTAAAAAATTTAAATTCAGGGTCCAGGAAGATGGCTCAATGGAATAAGCACTTTCCTGGCAAGTGCAAGGGCCTGAGTTCAATCCCCAGTTCTGCCAAAAAAAGTTTAAATTCAAAAAGTTTCCTATTAACAAGGACTTTAATAGAAGTATTGGGAAAAAAATTCTTGAGACAGGGACTCTGTAGTTTAGGCTGACCTCAAAACAACTATATAGTCCATGCTGGCCTCAAACTTGTGGCAAACCTCTTGGCTCAGCCTCAGCCTTGGGGACTGAACTCAGGCCGTTGCGCTTGCCAGGGAAGTGCTTATTCTACTAAGCCATCTCCCCGGCCCCTTCAGCCTCTTAAGTACTGGCATTACAGGTGTTTCTCACACACTGGCTCTACACAGAAATCTGAACCATGTTGAAGAGCATTACAAAAGGTTCCAAAACATACCTGGTTTTGGTAAGCAACAGGAGCATACTGCTTATAAATTGGAGCTAATTCTGTAGCCAGACTCTGTAAATTATCTTCCAAGTTTTTTTCCTATAGGAAAAGACAGTCCATCTAGGTTATTTTATAATAACATGTATAAGAGCATAAGGTATGAAATTACACTAGAAATAATTGCTGACGCATGATCTGTACTTACCATAACAAAATAGCTACCACAGAAAACCAGTCTCTTTTTTCTTAATCTGAACTATGAAGAGTTTTGCACCTAAAAATCTGGATCTTTTAAAATGAGAACTGCTATAAGTTAGCTAGAAAACTAAACACTGTTAGAGGTTAACTTGCAGAAGTGTTCATGTTGCTAAAAATAAAAACCATAGTTTATATTTATTGGGTATTTGAAATTAAGTGAAGACCAGGTTCCTGCTGATTCAATAGTGAATCAAGAATTTAAGAATACATAAT